TGAGCCGAGATTGCAGCACTGGACTCCAGCCTGCGCGACAAAGCGAGAGTCGGTCTCAAAATAAATAAATAAATAAATAAATAAATAAATAAATTTTTAAAGACTTGGATAAATGGAAAGACATTCTGTGATCATGAATTGGAAGACTGCATATTGTTAAGATGGCAATATTCTCCAAATTGGTCTACAGATTTAATGTAATCACTATCAAAATTCCAGCTACCTTTATTGCAACAATTGACAAGCTGATTCTAAAATGGAAATGGAAATACAAAGGACTCAGAATAACCAAAATAATCGTGAAAAAGAAGAACAAACACGGAGGTCTAATACTGCCCAATTTCAAAATGTACAACAAAGCTACAGTAATCAAGACTATGTCATACTGGCATAAGAAACAGACATATAAATCAATGGAACAGAATTGAGAGTACAGAAACAGGCCAGGCACGGTGGCTGACGCCTGTAATGCCAGCACTTAGGGAGGCCAAGGCAGGCAGATTGCTTGAGCTCAGGAGTTCGAGACCAGACTAGGCAACATGGCAAGACCCTGTCTCTAATAAAAATACGAAAAAAAAAACAAACCCGGGCATGGTGGTGCATGCCTGTGGTCCAGCTACTCAGGAGGCTGAAGTGGGAGTGAAAGGAGCTGGGCACATTCCTCAGCCCCGGGCTAAAAACTCCCTGAGCCTAGCACAAACACATCCCATCCTCCCATCCCACCACCATATATCTCTCAAACTCCCTGAGCCCAGTACAAACACCACCTGGAAAGTCTCCGATAAGGGGACAGCCGTTCAAGGTTACTGAAAGCGCAGGAGCCAAAAGAATTTCTTTGTTCCCCTGCAACTTTCGCGCTATAAAAAGCAAACGCTCGCATTGTTCGGGGCCCTCTTGTATACTGTGTAAAGGAGGGACCAGGTTCGAACTTGTAGTAAAGATCCTTGCCGCTTGGCTTTGACTCTGGACTCTGGTGGTCTTCTTTGGGGAACAAACAGTCTGGGCATAACAGGAGGATAGACATTTGAGCCCATGGGGCAGAGGTTGCAGTGAGCTGAGATCACACCACTGTACTCCAGCCTCGGTGACAGAGTGAGACCCTGTCTCAAAAAAAAAAAAAAAAAAAAAAGAGAGCGAGAGAGTACAGAAACAGACATATTTTTGGTGAATTGATTTTCAACAAGAGTTCCAATACCATCCAATGGAGAAAGAATAGTCTGTCCAACAGATGGTGCTTGGACAACTTGGATGGCCATATGAAAAAAAATTAAGTAGGAAACCTACCTCACATAAAAATTAACTCAGAATGGATCAAAGACCTAAATGTAAGGGCTAGAACTATAAATCTCTTAGAACAAAGAGAGGTGCAAGCCAGTGTGACCTTCCTTGGATTAGGCAATAGTTTCCTAGATAAGACACAAATCATAAACAACCAAAAAAATGGATAAATTGAACTTCATCAAAATTAAAAATTTTTGTGCTTCAAAGGACTATCAAGAAAGTGAAAAGACAGCCCAAAGAATAGGAGAAAATATTTATAAACCATATCTCTGACAAGAAATTAATATCCAAAATATACAATGAACTCTTGCAACTCAACAACAAAAATTCAACAATGGGTAAAGAATTGGAATAGACATTTCTCCAAAGATGATATATAAACAGCCATAAAGCACATTTTTTAAATGTTCAACATCATTAGTCATTAGGGAAATGCAAATAAAAACCACAATGAGATGTCACTTCACACACACTAGAAAGGCTTTCATAATAAAAAATACAAAAGATTACAAGGGTTGTCAAGGATGCCGAGGAATTAGATCCCTCATACATTGCTGGTAAGGACATAAAATGGTGCAGTCACTTTGGAAAACAGTGTGGCAGTTAAGAGGTGAGACCTTTAAGAGATGATTGGATCATGAGGACTCTGCCTTCAAGAATGGATTAATCCTTTCATGGATTAATGTATTAATGGGTTATCATGGGAGTTGGTTAGCTATCAAGAGAGCAGGCCTATATAAAAGCCGGTTTGGGCCGGGCATGGTGGCTTACACCTGTAATCCCAACATTTTAGGGAGGCCGAGGCAGGTGGATCACCTGAGGTCAGGAGTTCCAGACCAGCCTGACCAACATGATGAAACCCTGTCTCCACTAAAATTACATAAATTAGCCAGGTGTGGTGGCATCCACCTGTAATCCCAGCTACTAGGGAGGCTGAGGCAGGAGAATCGCTTGAGCCTGGGAGAGAGAGGTTGCAGTGAGTTGAGATCACGCCACTGCACTCCAGTCTGGGCGACGAGCAAGACCCCGACTCGGAAAAAAAAAAAAGCCAGTTTGGCTGTTAGTGTACCTTCCATCTCCATGTGATGCCCTCCACTGCCTCAGGACTCTGAAGAGTCGCCACTAGCAGGAAGGCCCTTACCAGATGCAGCCCCTCAACCTCAGACTTCCCAGCCTCCAGAACCATAAGAAATAAATTTATTTTCTTTGTAAGTCACTCAGTCTCAGATACTCAGTTATAGAAATAGAAGACTAAGATACCATATGACCCAGAAATTCCACTCCTAGGCATATAGGTAATACTCAAGAGAATTGAAAATATATGTTCACACAAAAACTTGTACACAAATGTTCATAGCAACATTATTCAAAATAGCCAAAAAGTGAAAACCACCCAAATGTTCAACTGTTAAGTGGATGAACAACAATGTGGTATATGCGTACATTAGAATATTATTAACCATGAAACGGAAGGAATGATATCTGCTACAACATGAATGGACCTTGAAAACATTGCACTAAGGGAAGTCAGACATCAAAAGCTACATAATGTATGATGCTATTTATATAAAATGTCCATCATAGGCAAATCTAGAGACAGAAATTGATGAGTAACTTCCAGGGATATGGTGGGGGGAGGAGTAACTGCTAATCGATATAGAGTTTCTTTTTGAAGTGATAGAAATATTCTGGAATTAGATAGTGGCAATGATTGCACAACTTTTTGAGTATACTAAAAACCACTAGTATACTCTTGTACACTTTAAAAGGCTAAATTTTATGGCATGTAAGTTGTATCTCCATTTTCAAGTCTATTTAATGAATCTGGCATAAGATAGGACCAGAAGGCTGGCCAGTAGAAGACACCTCACATCTCTGCTCTCCCCGTATGGCCCCAGTTGCAATCATCACTCAAGCGTACCATCACAACAGCCTCCTTGCTCTCTTCCCAAAACCCTGCCAGATCATGTCACTCGCCTTTGGGAGTTTCCCACTGTCCACGTGTATTAATCATGCCTTTTCATTTTCTGTATTTTCTGATTTTTTGACATCTGAGGCCTTTCTGATTCTGGAGAGATTGCCCCTCCCAGGAATAGCCAATTCCTAGGGACAGTAAAGGGCTTGCCTGCAAGTGCACCTTCATATGCAAACCATTCAATCGGAAGCCCATCCCACAACTACCTCCCTTGTTGGGCTTTCACACTCTGAGCCACTGTCTCCCTGCCTTAATCACCCCACAGCCAGGTGATGCAAAACTAGAGATAGCCCCTACACCCAAGAGCTCACTTTAGTTATTTACACTGGCCAATCCTAAGCCTGCCTAGCCTGCCTCCCCTTCCCCTTCCCCAGGAAATCACAGTAAACACTCTTGCCCATGTTTTTGCCCATGTTTTCCCCCACTCCCTCTGCCTCCTGACCCACCCTGGCGCTTCCCCATGTGGCCCTGCATGGCCTGCCGTGTCTCCTGTCTCTAGGGACCTGTGAGTAAAAACATCTTCCTTTACAAGCCTCATTTCTGGGCCTGCATACCCAAATAAAACAAATCCCAGGCACATAAGCACCGCCCTCTAAACTTAGCTCCACCTCCCCTTTCCCACCTAGCTTCTCACCAACCTGACACTCCCCAAACTCTCACCACCCCACACTTCCTAGGCATGACATGTTCCTTTGTCACCAAGCCTTTGCCCATGCTGGAGCCTCCACCTAAGTCCCCTTCCCAGTCTTTTTGCTTATTCCTGTGTCACCAGCAAGCCTCACTTCATGACACCCCTTCTGGAGACCCACTAGGACAACCACGTTGTATGTGCCACGTCCTCCCTCCAAGCCCTTAGTCTATGTATCTGTCTGCTGCTCTTCTTGATGAGTTTCTACAGGATGAGGACTGTGATTCCTCATCCCTGGATCCCCAGGGCGTAGCACAGAGCCAGGAAATTATTGGCAACTCAGTAAAGGTAGAATATGAGACAAGGTCACATCCTGTTACCCAGGCTGCAGTGCTGTGGCACAATCATGGCTCACCGCAGCCTCAACCTCCTGGGCTCAAGCAATCCTCCCACCTCAGCCTCCCGAGTAGCCAGAACTACAGGTGCATGCCACCACCATGCCTAGCTAATACTTTTTATTTTTTTGTAGTGACAGGGTCTCATATTGCCCAGGCTAGGCTTTTATTTTTTTAATACAAGAAATATCCCTGGCCAGGCGCGGTGGCTCACGCTTGTAATCCCAATACTTTGGGAGGCCAAGGTGGGTGGATCACCTGAGGTCAGGAGTTTGAGATCAGCCTGGTCACCAGTAGAGACTGGTGAAACCCCGTCTCTGCTAAAAATACGAAAATTAGCTGGGCATGGTGGCGGGCACCTGGAATCCCAGCTACTCGGGAGGCTGAGGCAGGGGAATCACTTGAACCTGGGAGGCGGAACGTGCAGTGAGCCAAGATCTCACCATTGCACTCCAGCCTGGGTGACAGGGCAAGACTCTGTCTCAAAAAAGAACAGCAACAACAAAAAAAGAAATATCCCGAACAGGCAGGTAAGCTCTTCAAGGATGAAGCCTAACTTACCCTCTAAATTCTTAGCAGGACTGAGCACACAGACGGGCCCCAGTAAAGGCTGATGGGGTGGCTGAGTGAACAGAAATGACGACTGAGCAAATCAGCAGTGGGAGGAGGTAGGTGGGGAGGCACAACTGGTCTCCCTGCCTGAGGCACAAGCTCTACTCACACTGTTCTTCCCACTCTCGCTCCTCTTTCTCACTGGCTTGGCAATGCAGCTGAGCCCGCTTCAGGGTCCAGTAGAGCTCCTTTGCCCTCTGCTCTTCCTGGAGGCGAATCTGCTCTTCTCCTCGCTTCCTCTCCTCTTCCTCTTTCCTCTGAAATGTCATGGGGACAGAACAACACGAGATGACCACAACATTTCAGAAAAACAAGAAAGAAATACCTCTGGGATTCTGCAGTGGGTGGGGTTGAGAGTGCAGCAGTGGCCTCTCCAGCCTCAGTCCCTACATGTATGAAATTGAAATTACCCAGTAGTCCCATAGACAGTTGTTTTGGATAAACACATAAATTGTCCCTTCTGGTCTTAAAGCTTGAAATTTCTATTTGTTTTATTTGAATTGCTTCCTCAGGAAAGGATCCCTCAGGCCTCCCAAAAAGTATCAAATTACTGAAACTCACCAGATCACCACAACCAGACTATGAGACGCCTGACCCCTCAATGAGATGATTGCTTCCTAGCTCCTCCCTAGTTCCTGTTTTTGTACACATTGTTACATTTCTTACCTGCTACATAAACCCCTAGTTTTAGTCAGTTAGGGAGATAGAGATGGATTTGAGGCTGAGCTCCCATCTCCTGTGCTGCAGCACCTGATTAAAGCCTTCCTCCTGGGCAATACTCATCATCTAGGTGATTGACTTTCTGTGCCACAAGCAGCAAGACCTGGATGGAACCCTGGTGTTTTAGTAATAAAGTGGTGGTGATCATGCCACCTAACTGACAAGGTGGTGGTGATCATGCCACCTAACTGACAAGGTGGTGGTGAGGAGAAAATGGGTGGAAACAGGTGGAATGCCACAGAATACTACACAGCCATAAAACAGAATGAAGTCACGTCCTCTGCAGTAACATAGATGCATCTGGAGGCCGTTACAGTAAGTGAAAGAACACAGAAACAGAAAACCAAACACTGCATGTTCTCACTTATAAGTGGAAGCTAAACACTGGGTACTCATGGACATAAAGATGGGAATGACAGACACTGGGTATTACTGTAAGTGGGAGAGAGGGAGAAGGGGAATGACTGAAAAAGTGCCTATTGGGTACTATGCTCACTACCTGGGTCATGGGTTCAATCATAACCCATATTTCAGCATCATACAACATACCGTTGTAACAAACCTGCACATGCACCTCTGGAATCTAAAATAAAAGTTAAAAAAGAAAAAAAAAAGGCTGAGCACAGTGGCTCACACCTGTAATCCCAGGACTTTGGGAGGCCGAGGCGGGCGGATCACCTGAGGTCAGGAGTTCAAGACCAGCCTGACCAACATGGAGAAACCCCATCTCTACTAAAAATACAAAATTAGCCAGGCGTAGTGGCGCTTGCTTGTAATTCCAGCTACTAGGGAGGCTGAGGTAGGAGAATCACTTGAACCCGGGAGGAGGAGGTTGCAGTGAGCTGAGATCGTGCCATTGAACTCCAGCCTGGGCAACGAGAGCAAAATTCCGTCTCAAAAAACCAAACAAACAAACAAAAAACAAACAAAAAAACAAGACCCAGTTAACTCAGGAAGCACAAGAATGGCTTGAACCCAGGAGGCAGAGGTTGCAGTGAGCTGAAATGGTGCCACTGCACTCCAGCCTGGGAAGGAAGGAAGGAAGGAAAGGACGGAAAGGACAGAAAGGACGGAAAGGAAGGAAGGAAGGAAGAAAGGAAAGAAAGGAAGGAAGGAAGGAAGAAGGAAAGAAGGAATGAAAGGAAAGAAATAAATGTGGAACAATGTGTTAACTCCACATCTTACTGCAGAGGTAAGAGGACTCTGTGCCAGCCTGGCTGGGTGCGGGGGCTCACGCCTGTAACCCCAGCACTTTGGGAGGCCAAGGCGGGCGGATCACCTGAGGTCGGGAGTTTGAGACCAGCTGGCCAACATGGTGAAACCCCGTCTCTACTAAGAAATACAAAAATACAAAAAATACAAAAATACAAAAATTAGCCGGGCATGGTGGCGTGCACCTGCAATCTGAGCCACTCAGGAGGCTGAGGCAGGAGAATTGCTTGAACCCGAGAGGTGGAGGTTGCAGTGAGCTGAGATCGCACCATTGCACTCCAGCCTGGGTGACAGTGCGAGACTCCATCTTGTAAAAAAAAAAAAAAAAAGAAAGAAAAAAGAAAGAAAGAAAAAGAGGACTCCGTGCCATCCTTAGGTGTACTTTCATTTTGGAGGAAGAGGGAGGAAGGACACAGTGAGGGGCGCCTGGTCTCTTCCTGAAAGCCCGTGAAGCAGAGTATGATTATGTCTTAACCTTAAGTCTGGATAAAGTATCTTAAAGGGAGAGTAGATTTGAGGGTCCTAAATCTCCCATTTCTGTCCCACTCCTGAGCTCTAAAAAGGTTGTGTCTGTGTGTATTTTCTTCTACCTTTGTTTACATCAAAGTAATATGTATGTGCTAAATGTGCATTATGGACCACAGGCTGCTAATGAAAATCAGCAGTCTCTAAATAACTTCACCAGAACCCAATCCAACCAACCTTAAACCAATGCTGGAGGCCACCATTTTCAACTATGTTAGCTGTTCCTTTGTTGGGCTATGTCCATATGTCTGATTAATGCTGCTAACCCTTGATTTATCAATTTATCAATCTAGATGTTAAATCTTGCCTTTCTTTTTTGGCACATGCATATTTAGCACTTACATTTCCCACAGGTGAACACCCATACTCCATACTTTTTCTCTCCTCAGCCTCACAATAAATTTGCCTCATAATTTGTGGTTAAATCAATAATCAGCATCAAAATAGTTTGCTGCAAAGCCAAATAGCATGCTATTTTCATCAATTCCAAAAAGTACATTTTTTTTAACTTTGTAACATCTCTGAAATTTGGATGTGTTTTACAAGTTACAGCTTGCTTTTTAATAAGCAACAATTTTTTCCTCTTAAATAATTATATGTTTTGCTATTAATGGTAACTTAAATTCAGTAAAATATGCTAGGTATGGAAGCCTTTTCTTTCCAGTCCTTTTTTCTGGTTTTTCCTGGGTTAATACATCTCGAAGCTGAATATTGAATTTTCCCAAATTTTTCCCAGATATAGTAAGTCATTCTCTGTGTTTAACCAAGTGCTTTTTCTTATAACAGACAATACAAAAGTTATTTTTCCAAGGGACACGCCACCCTGGGTGCCATCTTTTTTTCTCCCATCTGCACTGGTTACCACCTAAGCCTCCTCTCCATCCACCCACCACCGACACACCTCTCAACCTTCCTTGAGTTGGAGCCCCTGCTTCTTTCTTGAACACTCCGCCATTTTGCAGCAACATTTAGCACTTCTCAGCTAAGAATGCATAGAGACACTTTCTGAGTCTTGTCTGAAAATGTCTATATGCCACATTTACATGTAACTGCCAATTTAGCTGAGCACAGAATTTGATTAAAAATAATTTTCCTGCGGAATTTTAAAGACTTCTTTGTCTTCTATCATCCAGAACTACCACTCTGATTCTCATTCTTCTGCACAAGGCATTTATTTTTCTCTCTGGAAGCCCCTGGGGTCTCTTTAACACCGATGTTCTGAACTTTTTAATATGATGTGCCTTGGTGTGGATTTTCTTGCACTGATTGTGTTGGACACTTGGGGGTACTTTCAGTCTGTAGCTTCTTATCTTTCCAGTCTAATTCATCTTTGCTTAGGATTTCTTTGATAATTTCTTCTCTTCTCATTTCTTGTTTTTCCTTATAGAGCTCCTATTTGTCAAATAATGGTCTTCTTGAGTTGATCTTCTAACTGCCTTATCGTTTTCCTCTCTTGCTTTCCATCTGTTGTCTTTTTTTTACTTCTTCTTCTTCTTTTTTTGAGATGGAGTCTCACTGTCACCCAGGCTGGAGTGCAGTGGCACAATTTTGGCTCACTCTAACCTCCACCTCCCAGGTTCAAGCAATTCTCATGCCTTAACCTCCCGAGTAGCTGGAATTATAGGCACATGCCACCACACCTGGCTAATTTTTGTATTTTTAGGGAGACGGGGTTTCACCACATTGGCCAGGCTGGTCTCGAACTCCCGAACTCAGATGATCCGCCCGCCTCAGCCTCCTAAAGTTCTGGGATTATAGGCGTGAGCCACTGTGTCCAGCTCCATCTGCTGTCTTTTTTGTTCTACTTCCTGGTTGATTTCATTGACCTTATCTTCCAAACCTTCTACTGAGTTTTTTATTTCAGCTATCACATGTGTAATTTCCAAGCTCTCATTCTTATTCTTTGGTTGTTCTTTTCTCTTCATTGCATCTTGCACTTGTTTTATGAATGTGATAACTCATTTCTCTGAGGATTTTAGAGCTTTTTCTTCCCACGTACTCTGACTTAGGTCTGTTTCCTCTGTGTGCGCGTGTGGTTTTTTTAAGTTTGTTTGATTTGGTGCCTGTCATACATGTGAAAGGTTTTCCTCAGCTGTCTGATGTTCCCTGACTATTCATATTCAAGAGAGAAGTAAATATCTGAATAGGAAACTCAGAGAGCATGCTCCAGGCTTCATTGGGAGGAGGACTTTGCTCTAGGGCAATCGTAGGAGGAACCAGCCATGTTGCAGGACTCTCAGATGCAAGTATCTAGAGGCCCTTTCTCTGAGATTATTCAGTGTCTTCTCCTCTGTCCTTCCTGGGTGGTATCATCTGCAGCATTCCAGGAATTGGAGGGGAGCAGGCTGCAGGCAGGACTGCCCGCAGCAAGCAGGGCTCCTGGCCTAAGCCCGATGCTTCACAGAAACCCATGCTTTAAAGCACCTTCTTGTAAATTTCCTCCTCAAGTCTCCCCTCAGGACTGGCCAGAAATAGACCCCCAGGAATGGTAAGGGCAGGTGGTGGTGTCCAGCTAAGGTGCCCTAGGCCCAGAATAGGTTCTACATGAGCCTGACTCCCTGTTTCTTTCCTTCAGGGTGCTCTCTGATCATCTCCCTTATCAAGGGATTGAGCAGATGTCCCAAAGAACTCCAGGATTCCTATTTATGAAGTCATCCTGGGCCCCAGTGTGGGGGTCCTGGTTCCAGAAGGGTAGCCTAGCAAACAGATGAATCCTGCAGGCCAGCACAGTATTTTTAGCACAGGATCACATGAGATTGGGTCACCAGAATAGTGCTAAAAGGCTGATTTTATGTGACTC